CTTTAACATTTAGGATATAGTTAAGTTTAATATACTATTCCAAAAAAGAGTTAAAAGAGTTACAATATTCTAATTCCGACTGCTTGTTTATCACCTTAATCAGAATTTTGTGTACTTTCATTTTTTTGTTTGTTTGTTTCTTTGTTTCAGCTTAAAGAGCTCCTTTCAACATTTCTTGTAAGGCAGGTCTAGTGGTGGTGAACTCCCTCAGCTTTTGTTTTTCTGGGAAAGTCTTTATTTCTTTTTCACATCTGAAACGGTAACTTTGCCAGAGAGTATTCTTGGCTGCCAGCCTACATTTTTATTGTTCCTTCACCCTTTTACTAATTTCCTCCTGAAAGAGGTATTTCATGTAACTGAGGAAATAAATAATGAACAACCCCAAACTGTGAACCAAATAAATAAGTGAATTGCTTAAAGAAACAGCACTTGATTGCTAACACAAGAAGAACTGAAATAGGGCCTCTGATTTTTTACTGCAGGATCTATTTAGCCATGTATCATTGTTCTGTTCACTTTCTACTTCTCTGAAAAGTAGAAGTTACTTCTAACATTGCTGCTAAATGATGACGTATATATATTTTTTTACATGTTACCAACCATTTATACTTTGGGAGCATGTGAATTTTTCCTTTCATTTGGAAGTCTAGCAGTGTGTAGACTAAAAGTTAAGTCTGTAGCATATTAACACACTGATATTTGATAAAGTCTATTTGTTTATTCAAGTTGAATTCACTCCTGAAAAATTTCTCCAGGACAACGTAAAAGATAAGTAGCCAGGCTGACTTTTAATTTTTTTTTCATAAATTTTTTTCATTCTTTTTTTTTAGTTAATGAAAAGGAAGTTTAATATGTACAAATAAAACAGAAAAAAATTTTCTTACAGACTGGTTAGAGGTAATGTTATTCAGAAGTTGTCTTTCAAACCTGAAAGACCTAGCTTGCTTTCTTATTTTTTTTACACTATCAAAAAAGAATGTTTTGCCACAAATGAATAATGGACAGAGACATGTCATTGGCATGTTTACAATTAGGAAATATATAAAACCCACTTACACTTGATAAAAAAAAAGTTAAAGGTGATTAGAATATTTACTTTAAAGTAAGGCAAGAGCTAATACAGTTACAGCTGAGATTTTAATTGTCATACTTTCGGATTTATGAGTTGGGCAATTAAATGCCTAAAACAGTCTGATGTTTTCATTTGGTAAGACTATGAAAAAAAGAGAAAGTGTGGCTATATGTGGCTATGTTGTTATATTTCAGCACAAATTATGAAGTTGTGCCCCCACTCATAGCAATAAAACACACCAAAACAAACAAAAAGCAAACCAAATAGACTTCCTCAGCTGATACAAACTTCAGTGTCTTTTCTCAGGGGTTTTCCATTTTTTTTTTTTGTTCTTAAGAATTTAATTATAACTTGGATGTTTGAACTATTTCTTCTGTCTCTGATGACTTTTCATTAGAATGCCTGACAGCAGTGTCAGCTCTGACGTATTGTAAGTCCAATAAAAGAACTGTTCTTTGACTAACAACTGAAATGGGAGATTAATAACCCAAATGCAAAATTTCAGGTGAGTTTTTCATTCTTTATCATTCTTTTAGTTTTCTCTAACTTTTGCATTTCCAAGATATTTTAGATTCTCCATGCTAACTCCCTCCCCCCTGGCCACAAAGGAGCTTAATTTTGTTCCTGGGACTTCATGGAATGAAGGTTTTGTCAATCCTAAAAAATCATCATCTCATACTAACATAAGTCCATAAATTTGACCTTATTCTCCTTCTCAATAATGGAAAAATCAGGCAAAACCTATCTATGATGTTTCAAAATCTTCCCCAAGTGAGGTTGACATCTAAAATGAAATCTCAAACAAAATACACAATAAACAGGAGGAAAATAAAAAGGAGAGATAGAGAGAAATTAAGGAGTCGATCCCATTTACAATTGCACCCAAAACCATAAGATACCTAGGCATAAATCTAACCAAAGAGGCAAAGAATCTGTACTCAGAAAACTATAAAATACTCATGAAAGAAACTGAGGAAGACACAAGAAATGGAAAAACGTTCCATGCTCATGGATTGGAAGAACAAATATTGTGAAGATGTCAATGCTA